TCTTCCAAGTAACGTTAGGATATAAAATTTCTACTGACGCTCAAATTTCTTCATCACCACTTTTATAGCGATTAGGAAAGAAAACGGATTATTATGAACACGTTTTGATATTTTAGAGCTGAACCACATATTATGGATAATGGAATTAAAATAATTAAAGTTGCATCGCTGAGTCTGGCACTCGAGCGTCATGACAACGCGTAAACTGGGTGCGCTCAAGCGGCTTTCAACGCAACTGGAATTAAATATTTATGCAATTACCTGACGCAGCGTTTACGGCATGTCATACATTTATTTTACTCTTACATTGCCATTTAGTGAAGTAATGAAATAAAAATGAGTGAATGAAAATGATTCAAATTCCTTCAGATCGAACTATCTGTTTGTGTCCCTTGGTTTTCTGTGCATCTGTGTGCGCATATTTGTGTCACGATGAAGACATCACGGTGAATAATGCGTGCGCGTGTCTACGTGATGCCAGGCAAGTAGAGCGAGAATCCCGTGATGCCGTGATCACGTGGAAAAACCCGACGGCCCAAGCGTGAGTGTGCGCGAGACGCGCGGGTTAAAAGCCGCGGGATAATAGTTTCCGTTCGATGGCCGAATGCTCTTTTTAAAAGCGCATCTCCTGTCGGTCATTTATTCTATTGAACTCAAGAGAGAACATGAAGAGGCGTATTGCGTTGTGATGCAATGTCTGACTTCCTTCCTATACATCTCAGTCAAAATAGACAAGTGTATTTTACTAAGCTGTTTGTTTACTCTTGAATGCTCGTGCGCTCGTGACTCAGTGTTGCCGAATTGGGCTACTTTAACACTGTTGCCGCGAGTTAATGCCACCCCAACAACGTGATATTTAGCCCCTGGAATGCAAATTGTATTAGGGGAACCCCGCCAAAAACGTGTATTTTACCCCGCGGAACGCGATTTTTACTGGGGGACCCCCCTCGAAATGCGGCTGGGCTAGTTTTGAGTGGTAATTGTGAGAGTTTTGTTCCGAAAACTTGGCAACCCTGGCTCGTGTGCTCTTGAATGCTCGAGCTGTATTACACAGCTACTCCTATAGAGTTTCCACACTTCGAGTTTCCATCTTTTTACCTTTTTGTTTTATTTTGGTTCTGGCTGGGATCATGGCACTATGTTTCCTAGCAACGGTTTCAAGGCAGCAGCCCTCTCATCACTATGGGTTAGGCTGGACATAACCTCAGGGGAAACAGATGCTTGATTCAACTTGTCAGGTCAAGGAAATAGGGAACATACTGAGCAGAGCCTACTTTCATGTTTTAATTTCTCAAATTTATGTGCCTATAGATCTTTACACTGTTTGATGCGTTAGAATTTGAGAATCACCAGTCTTTCTCTCTCTTTCTGTATTTCGTCATGTAGGTATGAATGCTGCTGTGAGGGCAGTGGTCAGAATGGGAATCTACGTGGGAGCAAAAGTTTATTTCGTCCATGAGGTGATTTTTCATTTTCTTCATTCCCAGGTCTACATTTTTAGAAACCCATAATAATAAAATAATGTATTTTATTTACAGGCATCTTTCACAGCACTCAATGACACCGTAAAAGCACTATAAAATACCAAATACAGCTATTTTAAAGGGGTCATATGATGCTGCTAAAAAGAACATTATTTTGTGTATTTGGTGTAATGAAATTTGTTTATGCTCATCGGTCTGAAAAAGCGAGGTGTGCTGTGATTGGCCAGCTATCCAGTGCGTTGTGATTGGCCGAATACCTCAAGCGTGAGACGGAAATGTTACGCCCCTTACCATATTGTGATGATGCTCTGTCAGGCCAGAGCAATGATTCAGAAACATGAAAACCCATTATAAACGAGGTCTCCAAAGAGAAAGGAAAAATTGAAATCGCATCATATGACCCCTTTAAATGTCATTTTCTGACATTTATTCAGGACATTGACATCCGACAAGCAGCATTGTTTCTGTGGATCTCAAAGGCCATGCATGAAAGCTTGTGACAGATAAAAGGTGTCCATTCTGTGGTTGCCTTGGTAAAAAGGAAAATTAATTCAGTTTTTTTATGATGTTACAATAAGTGGTTCGTTCTCAGGGCTACCAGGGCATGGTGGATGGAGGTGACAACATCAAAGAGGCATCATGGGAAAGTGTTTCCAGTATGTTACAAGTGGTAAGCAGTTTGCTTTATTGAAGTCTCTTAAGCTTAAATAACACACAAAAATGAGCAAACATAGAGAAGACACATTGCAGGGTTGTTGCAGAGAGCTGCATGATTCTCAATAGAGGTCATGATTCTCCAATGGTTCTGAAGGAAAAACATTAGACAAACAAAACATTTTACTAGAGGTTCTGACAAAAAGTTAATTGCTTCAGACTAATTAATATATTAAATAATTCAGCATAATCAATAATAAAAAAAACTGTTGAATGAATGATTCAAAGAGTCACTCCTAAAGACTGCATTTGTTAGTGAATGAATCTGTTTTTTAACAAATCGTTTGAATGAATGATTCAATGACGTTTTTTAACAGTCACTTGTCACCACCTACTGGTTTTAGGATGTTGTGGTACAATTATTACTGACAAACAAAACATTTTACTAGAGGTTCTGACAAAAAGTTAATTGCTTCAGACTAATTAATATATTAAATAATTCAGCATAATCAATAATAAAAAAAACTGTTGAATGAATGATTCAAAGAGTCACTCCTAAAGACTGCATTTGTTAGTGAATGAATCTGTTTTTTAACAAATCGTTTGAATGAATGATTCAATGACATGTTTTTTAACAGTCACTTGTCGCCACCTACTGGTTTTAGGATGTTGTGGTACAATTATTACTTAAAGGGATAATTCACCCAAAAATGAAAATTTGCTGTTAATTTACTCACCCTCAGGCTATTTTTCTTCAGTAGAACAGTATAGAAGATTTTTAGCTGAAACCGTGGTCCTTGGTGATTAATAAAATGCAAGTCAGCAGCTACCCGTTTTTGAGAAAGCACATCAAAGAACACACAAAATTAATACCCATGGCTCCTGACAATATATTGAGGTCTTATGAAGCGAAATGATCGGTCTGTGCAAGAAACTGAACATTATTTACTACATTATTTCCTGTAATCTATATTCTCCGTAAACAGGGAAATAAGTTTTTTTCCCCTCGAACTGGTTCTTTCAGTTCAGTTCTGTTTTTCTTCAGTTCATTTGTTTGTTTATGTAATCACGCAATACGCAATTATATTATTAACGCACTCAATAATTATGTGAAATGTGGATATGTTAAAGCATCAAATTACAAAAAAGATATTTATATATTTTATTTATACTTTAATATTTTCCATCAAAAACCATCAATTATTACATATGAACTGTATTTTCTTAATACTACTGTGTGTGTGCAGGGTGGCACTGTGATTGGCAGCGCCCGCTGTAAGGATTTTCGTACCCATGAGGGCCGTTTGCGTGCTGCTCTGAACCTGGTGCAGCGTGGCATCACTAACTTGTGTGTGATTGGTGGAGATGGCAGTTTGACCGGGGCTAATCTCTTCAGGGAGGAGTGGAGTGGACTCTTGGATGAGCTTGTCCAGTCAGGTAGCAGAGTGGGAGGGGCTTATACATGGGACGAGAATTTGTCATTTGTAACTGTACTGAATAGCATAATATTTTGCCGTATTTCTCCCAGGTCAAATCAGTGAAGAGGCTGCCCAAACTCATTCTGCGTTGCATATCGTTGGGATGGTGGGCTCTATTGACAATGATTTCTGTGGGACAGATATGACCATCGGCACGGACTCAGCATTGCACAGGATCATAGAGGTGGTGGACGCCATAATGACCACGGCACAAAGGTACTGTATATACCAAAAATGACAATATACAGAAAATTCTAGTTATTAGATATTAAAATCAGCATATTATGGTGAGCATAAGAGACATTTTTCAAAAACATTAAAAAATCATAATTATTCAAAACTTTTGACTAGTAGTTTAAATTCATATTGAATATCAAATACATAGTTTGTCATTAAAGGGGTCATATGATGCGATTTCAAGTTTTCCTTTCTCTTTGGAGTGTTACAAGCTGTTCGTGAATAGATAAGACCCCTAAAGTTGCAAAGACGTCACGATGTGGGAAGATTTGCATAACGCCGCCCAAATGTTCATGCAAAGAAAGAAGGCGTAACTTTATTGTTTCTGCCACCGCCGCCGCCATGTTGTGAAGACGCTGTATGTTTCATTGCAAAAGTGAAAATACTTTGTTTGGCCTTCCAAAAGAGGGCACGACTAGAAAT